AGTGCTCATTCTGCCTTACTTTGTCTCAATAGCCAGCCCACTCAAACTGGGCTCAACTTTTATTTTTGCTGATAGAATTGTGCATAGCATAATTCATCTGCTATTTGCATTGGCAAATACTCTTACATAATACATACATATATCAAGCTAATAGGAAAGATAAAATTGGAAGAGTACAGTTGAAAAATAGAGAGAAAAAGAATTGAATCAAATAAAATAGATCAGGATCTTTATATCAAAGGGAAAGATGATGAGATATGACTGAATGTGAGACATGAAGTCAAATAGAAAGGAGCTTGTCTCAAGTGTATCTGTTTTTTGAATGATTTCTGCTCATTTTACTATAGCTGATTTTGTTGACTCTCCTGATCCAATGGAATTGAAAAGAATGGTAAAGGTTGATTAATTCATCTTATTTTGAATTGTATGAATTTTTATTGCGCTTCAGAAGAATTGGCTTTGAAGTAGTCCGATGAAGTTTGATTGTTTTATAAATTCTTTTGAATTTCATATTTCCATTTGTCTTGATCTATTCTTCATGACTTTCATTTTGATTTTGTAAGAAATGATTCAATTGATAGAGATACCGAAGAGCAAACAAACATAATAAAAGAGTTTTTAAACTTTGTTTCATCGTCTTCTACAGGTGAAGTATGGAGCGATCGAACAGCGGATGTTTTCAAAGCTGTCAATTTGTGGATCATCAGAGTACAGTGTCATGTGCCAAAGAACAGAATGGGAATGAATGAGCGTGCTCAAATATCAAAATGAATTTTTGATGAGGCAAAAAAGAGGTAAACTTACAATGATATAAGTGAATCAATATTGTTAAAGGACAATACAGAGCATTGATGGATATGATAGGATCAATTAAGAAAAATGATCAGAAAAGATTGATGTTAAGGACAGACAAACTTAGTATGATGTTATCCAGTTTGTTCTTGCAATCTATTACATTGATGTGATGCAGTTGATGACCCTTGCTATTGAAGATGCAAGAGTGAGACTTCTTGTGATTGATCAAAGGGTGATGTTTGAGTGGGTTGTGTGCGGACTTATAAGCTATAACAACAATGGTGGTCAAAGAAGAAAACTGGTGACGTCACTGCCCCTCAGAAAAATAAATAAAATAAAAATAAAAAAATTATGTAAAGTGCAAAATCATTAATTCAAGCCATCCAAGCTGATTCAGGTGCCAAGAACCTGGCTGACAGGTTGCACTCATACACATCAGCTTACCCGCTATTCATGCTATGCTAAAGTGTAGAATAGGGTGAGGGCCATGTAGCCGCACTCACACTGCTTTCACCTGTTCTACACAACCATTCAGCGTGGTCATACCCAACTTACATTTCATGTGGTCCCAGTTCAAAGTCGCCCTGTGGTGTAGTCATTACTTGATTCTGAGTCCTGGCAGGGTATTCCACTGGTTACGTGGAATGTCCGTTGTATCTTATCCTAAAGTGAGGATAATTATTGTAATGGATGGGGGTAAAACCACAAGCTCTTCATGGTGTTTCAAAGAAACATGGTTCCAAGGCCCACTTTAAGTTAACAGATGTAAGGTGGTCAACCTTTAAGCCTGGTTTATAATCTCTGAGGTACAAAATCTAGAGTAGCCTGCATCCAAAGACTAACAGGGATCTTGCCAACTTTGCTTTGCAAGAACTGGGTAATGACCAAGGAGATTTACGTAGTTTTTAGGTACGTAAAACAGTCTCTTGATTTAAATCATGAAACATATCATAATCTGAGCTACTATCTGGAAAGTTGATAAGAACAATGGAACTAATAAAGATACTTAGAGTGTAATAGTTGATAATTATTTTTCAAGAGACTAAGAAGGATGTAGCAACGATTCTTTGACTTTCAGCAAAAAGGTGAAATGGAACTGAGATTTATTTACAAGTGTAACTAATCTCAGCTGGACTTTGGAACAGATGTAGGTCTGAAATGTTTGGTTAAAGTATGAGAAGGTGAGGCTCTCCATTCCTTGGAGAGACTTCCTTTGTTTATGTTCCTTTTATTCTGATTTTAAAGGATATATATCAGAGATACCTTTTTCTTGGTGTAGTCTTCTTATTAAATACATTCAATTGATATATATTCAAGCCCAGGCTATTCTATACGTGGTCAGTTCAATCTTGCTTCCGCACTGCCAACATATTGACCTCGGATTGGGAAATCCGAGGCGTTCTTGGATCTGAAACCTCAAACAGGAGCTTTTCAAGGTTTTGATCTGAGGTAATCTTGGCGCATAATGATACATCCAACAGGAACCTCGGATAAGATCCGTCCGAGGATTTGCATCTGAAGATACCTCAGATCTTCCAATCCGAGGCATCTATGTTGGCGGTGCCAAGACTTGTTTCATTAGTATTCCGGATGTCAATCAGGATTTCTGATTGAGTTGTTATGAAAGACTATTGATTGTTTTCAATTGATTTGTTCTCAAGTGTGATAGAATGTGATTGTATAGCTTATAAGTTTGGTAGTAACTTAGTACATTTCAATCACATCATCTCTATGGTGCAAAGGTGGACAATATTCAATAGACTAATAGAGTCGTCTGGTATCCAATCTGTCCTCATTCAGAAGAGCTTGTTAGAATTTTGATGTTATGGAAACTATTTGGATTTCTTCTTTACCAATGTAGGTATCATTTTTCTGTTTTGAGATGTCTTTCAGATGACCATTGAGATTACATTGTACTGTTTAATATGTCTTCATACTAAACCTGTAAGACTGAATATAAGCAGTCAAATGTTTAATGCAAAGCTATCTCAGCTTACAAATAAGTGTAGTACTTATGGCTCTTTTTCCAGTGCAAAGATCTCGAGTGCTGACAAAATAGAAATTCTGTCAGCCCCTGAGCTTGTAACACTCAAAGCCAGAGAGGCTACAGTTATAAAGAACAGTTGAAATAAATAAAATATATACATTACAATAATTAGCATACAACTTCTTGTCTAGTTTCAAAGACAGCAACCAACATAAGAAAAGGAAAAATAAAGAAAAAGAATAAAAGACACCATGTGCCTAGTACCAAAGGCAACATTAAAACAGTACCAAGAACCCTAGTCGGTCAGAAACCCCAGAGACAAGAACACTAGGCAAAACCAAAGAGAAACTAGGACCATAAGTCCCTAATCAAAATCAGAACGGCTCAAGTTCCCGATTGGGCTCAACCACAAGTTGGCCAACTGGAAGAGTACCATAGTTCCCAATTGGGACAAATCACGAGTTGACCAATCAGAAGAAAACACCTGGATATTACCTGGTTAGAAATAACCACAAGTCAGCCAGGCCAAGTAGCAAGGTATAAAAGGGAAGGTTACGTCCCGAGAAAAGCAGAGGACTCACCTTCTTCCCCGTTAGCAAGTTAAAACCCAACTTTATAACACCTCTTAAAGATACCTCAAAATCCAGCTCACTGTTGTTATTAGTGTTAGTTGTGAGGGTAGGTGCTCTTGAAGAGGACTCTAAGCTCACTAATTGGGCAATTGGTGGGTATGATTTCAAGAATTTCAATTCTTTATTTCATATATGTAGTATCTACAAGAGGAATAAAGGAAGGAGAGGAAAGAGGGGGAATAGAACCAGTAGTCTTCTTGGACAAACCCAGACAGACTACAGTTAAGTGACTCCTTGAAAGGAGTTTATAAATAATAATTTGTATTATTAATACTGGATGAGGGTTGGATCCAAGACCCTCCTTTAATCTTCTGTTAACTGATTTAAAGGGCGAGATAAAGATCACCAAACTAGTTGTTCTTATGGTCACCAACCTTGGGTTATTCTTATGGTCACCAACCTGAAAGTTCTTCTTAAGGTCACTAACCTGGGGCTTTTAGAGGTCACCAACCTAGTTTGATTTCTACTTGGGGAAAGTAGTGGATCCAGAGGGATGTGAAGGAATGTATTACTTACTTTTAATCGGGAAGCTGATTAAAGTTGTAAGAAGTTTATCACTAGTCTTATCTTTGTAAGACTCTTGATATATACTGCTGTAGAACTTTAATATTGTTCTTTAAAAGTGTAGTGTAATAATTGCTTGGGGAAAGAGGGGTTTATATACTCTCCTCTCTAAACCTAACTGTAGTGATATTTGTTATTATCACTACATTGGTTCAGGGTTAGTCATTAACATATAGTAATGATTGCTACTAGTAATGCTTAATTACATATACATGTTATGTGTGATATGTAATCTAAGCATTTAACTCTTGACGCTGAGTTATGAGGTGTAAATGGTGATTTATTACATATTACATGTTGCTTTACAGGTTCATGTATATGTAATAAAGGTTTTGATACATTGTATTACATGTTAAATACAGTCTATGCTCAGTATTTAACATGTAATTCATTTTATACATGGTGTTTTTTACTGTTACAGGTTAGTTTTGGGTACATGTATATGTACTCAGGGCTGACATTGGTTCCATTTCCTGATCTTGAGAAACCAGAAGAAGCGTCAAAACCCAAAATTCATTGTTTAGTTGAACCATCCTTATAAAAAATTATAAAACAAAACCCCACTACTTAGTTTAACCGGTAAGTAGTATCCTTGGTCTTATCCATTAGGTTTTGCAGCTCAACGCTGACGGGATCCCTGTAGTTTGACTCAGGCACTCTAGTATCCATTCTAGAGGTAAACAGGTCTAAAAAGCCTGACCAACTTTTCTTCTACATCACTGCAGTAGGCCTGGGACTGTTGGTAACTCTACTAACTCTACTCACCTATCACTTCTCACTAGAGCATAACTTACGTATACACGAGTTATTCTTTAGTTAGTTGCAGCTATTCATCTACAAGATAATACATAACCAGTATTATCACTTGTCAGGACGTTAGAGTAAGTGATTGACTAGACAATTTGCTCTTGCAATATTAGCCACCCTGACAAATTCAAATAAAGGAACACAACCAGTCTTAGCATAGGCAGAATAGGTAAATTATAAAGGTGGAAACCAAAGTAGAAAGGCAATAGAATAGCTTACATCTCCTTTGAGATGATACAGTTCACCATATTAACCCTGAATTTTTCTGTTTTCACTGGATCACCTTGTTGACCTCTTGCCTGGACTTTACCATTTTCTTCCTCAGAATCTGTGTGTAGAGTTTTTTGTGTAACAAAGGCTGAACCAGTGCCTGTAGTGGGTGCATGCCTGACAGAATGGTGATAAAGAAAGGGAGAGATAAGGGACAAAGACAAAGCAAGATGATCAGTTGTGAGAATAGTGGAGAAGCACAGAGGAAGGCTTTACATACCTGATGGTTTGTCTTCTGCTTCTCCTACAAAGCCCTTTGTCTCTTTTGCGTCTGTGGACTGTACTGAATTTCCTTTGTTAGTAGAATTCTCCAAGTCTCCATCCCCATTGTCATCTTCTGTTGTGACATTGACACGTTCAAGAACGGTACTACTACTGGTGCACTGGGATGGGCCAGGTAAACCATTGACTGAGACACATCTTTGAGAATCTGGAGAAGGCAATATCATTCCAGGGTTAGAGGGTGGGTTGCACAAGTGTTGTGGTTGGGAAGCTTTTGAAGGTCTGTTGGGGTTGGAAGTGGATTGATCCACATGTGATTGAGAAGAAGGCATGACAATGAAAAGTTTGTGTGAGTTGACTTGAAAACAATGGTATCAAAGTAAATCGGATAAAGTAAAGAACACAAATCAAAGGGAATTCAATGAATGAAAAAGGATAAGATATATTAGTATTAAAGTTATGTTGAATGGGGGATGACGGTGTGGTGAGCAAGATCTCTACTTAAGCAAAAAAAATTAAGAATTATTGGAAAATTTGTATTTTTAGTCAAAGGCAAAGTTATTGTTGGAGTTATTAGTCATCAAGGGTCTCAAAGTTGATTTGTAATCTTCATTTCATTATCTTTTAAATCATATATTTACATATTCATTTGATAAGAACATTTAAGAGAAAAGAAAAATTCAAAAAGATCATAAAAATAGTATAAGAGTGAAAATTAAATTAAAAGATTTATTAAGGAGGAATTGGAAGAAGAAGAACATTTAGTTTGGATCTTGAAGAATGAAAGAAGAAGGATAACATTAGAAAAGTTGAAGGAAATTGCAAAAATATGGGTATGAGAGGCTGGAAAATGGTTTTTAGGTTATTATTATAAGAGTTATTGGTTCAGGAAGGTTTTATTATGAAAGAGAGTTACAACATTAGTCATCAGCAACTTTAATCACGAGGATTGATAAGGGAGGTGTGAAATTATTCAAGAAAGAGGGTATTTCAAAAAAGGGTACTATGGTATTAATTCCTGTGTAGTGATGTCATTGAAGGATTGATTGCGCCAAGGGTTTTTCAGAGGGATTTTATGGATGTGTGGTTGATTGGAATGCTGTGGTATGATCTTTTGATAGAAGAAAAATCATTATTAGACATGAAAATGGTCAAAGTTCATCAAAAATGGAGGCTTTCGGTTAATTACATATGTCAAGACTTGTCAGAATTGGGTGTGTGATAGTTCATTCAACGCAGAATCATTGGTTTCATAATGTACAACCTTTAAATCATTAGTAACGGAGGAGTAGTAAAAAAGTTATAAGGCAACAAAGAAACTGGAGTGAATTTCGAATTTGGTGGTTACATATGACATTTACATGACAAAAGCTTATTTTCTCAATCTTTACTACTCAATACCTTATTCATCACACATCAGAAATAGGTCATATGGGGGTGATAAATGATCAGTATCACGAGGGCTATCAAATGAGCTATAGTAATCCAAAATTGAACAACTTTACAAGAAATTCGTAATTCCAAAAATGGATTTCAGCTATGAATATTAGGAAAAAATCACCTGTATTCATCATAAGAAGCCTGTTCATCATTCATTAACATCAATTGATCAAATTCACGCCTTTGATCATTACAAACAATAATATTCATGACATCATATGGTTACATTGAAGGATTTCTGTTGATTTTTGACGGTTTTCGGAGGTTTTCGGAGGTTGTTGACCATTATTGAGGATTGTTGGAGTGTTATATACTATTGTTAGGGAATTTATGTGCCTTGGTTCCCCTTTTACTCATCTTATACTTTTGTTAGAGTGTTTTTAATCATCATTAAATTACTTTATCAGTACTAAGTTCACTAAATTGCCCCTTTATATCAAAGGAGAGATTTCTTTACGTGTGATAAGACTACAAGTCTTCTTTGGAATAACAATCTAATTGATTGTTGCTTTGCTAGTAATTAAAAGTGTGTTTTGTTGTGCTCAGATTGGAATAACACTATAGCAGTGTTGAGATTTCTTTATTTCTAAAAACTCATGGGAATAATACTTGACTTAGGTATTGAAAACAATCTCTGTGGTGCCTTATCCCAAAGAATTCAGCAAAACCCCATGTTGATTCTTTCAAAGAGGCAGTCTTAGGCAACTTCTACTAGTTAGTTATATTAGTAGATTATCCCTCTTTAAGCTCTGTAAAGCTCTTGTTGAGCTTTAAGTTCTACAACGGACCAGATTTTTTTCAAGGAAGGCAAGCAGGGTTTAAAAACTTGCAGACAGTCTGACAAGAACACACCTTGACTTTTCATTAGGAACAGGGGGTAGAGCATTTCTTGATTTTGATCTTGATAGGCATCCTTTTGAGTCATCTTAGGTGGCTCCTGGTTTGATTGGGCCGTAGTGTTGCCAGATTGGGTGGTGGAAAGGGTGAATGGGTTCAATTGGTTGGGTTGGATTGAGACAGAAGGGGTGTATAGGGTAGTTATGAGCCTCCACCATTAATCAAACCGCTGTTCTTCTTGCAGCGCATCTGCAGGCCAAAGCACAGCTTGCTGTTTACCCAAGGACCGGCAGAGCCGCAGCAAACCAGCAGATACAAAAAACCAGGAGTGCCTGGCCCTGAAGCGCAACTGATGACACTGCATTGACTGGTCTGTGCAACACAACTATAATAGCTGCGCTTCAGCAGCGCTGCTGATGCACTGTTGGTGCAATGGATGAGGAGACTGTCTTGTCTTTTGAGAACTTGGTCCATGTAAAGGCCACACCTGTGAGCCATGCTGAGCACATGCTACGCAAGGTAAATGCATTAAATGTGTTCCCACAATTAGCAGAAAGGGTACAACTGACAATCACCTCGTGGCAACACCGCAACCGCTCCGCTCAAAAGAGCGTGAGCGGAGCGATTTCAGCGTCCGCTACAGCCCCCACTCTGCAGAGCGGAGCCTGCGCTGCGCACCCAGGGGCAGAGAATCCCCGAGCGGAGCAAACCGCTACGCACAGGTGCCGGGGCAGGGTTGCTCCCCTCATGAGTGCAGCAATATACCCAGGCCCAGGGTAGAGGGGTAACCTGAAACCTTTGCAAGAATTCTCAATCCATATTTCAATCTCAATATCCCAATGGATGGTGGCACTGTTGCATGGTCCCCCTTTTGAACTAAACATGTCACCCCCGGACAACTTTTTATCCTGGTTTGTACTGCAGTGCTGTTTTCAATGTGGCTATAAGGTAGTTTCCCATTTCCTTGATCCATCTTGTCAATTGTCTTTAACTCAATTACTAACAAATTCTGATTACTTGATTACCATGCATTCGGTTTTTTCACTCATTGTTTTGTTCTAAGATTTCACCATTTCTGTCACCGTTCACACTGATCCCAACTCGACTCCCTTTGATCGACTTGAATTCTTTTTAACTCAAATTAAACACTTATTCACTTTAAAAAATCTTATTCAGTTAAGGTAAATCACAATCATGCAAAATCAAACCCAAATCATATGTATCATGATTGAGTTCATTCAAATCAGATTCTTTCAAATTGAAAAATTATTATTTTCTAAGGAAATCAAATCACAATCCAATCAAATCAAACACAAATTATTTAGATTCTTCTTCTTCTTTTGGAGTCAGAATCTTATTTTAAATCAGATACTCACTAACCTCAAAATTCAATTCGTTTAGGTAGATTACCACAAGTGTTTCCAAAACCGGTAGCCTATCTTGAACTTTGTCCTGTTTTGGTCGTTTTTTCCATTATATTGTGTTACATAGATATATATGTCTATGCTTTTAATTTTCTTTACAAATCTCGCTTTTTTTCACAAATAAGGTGATGTGCGCCACATCATAGCAATGTGCTTAGTGGTGAAACAACTACGAACACCCAAGTGAGAAAATGAAATAAAATGAGCAATTGGGTGCGTAGTGAGATAGAGCGCAGCGCACCGCTCTGCTCCCAAAATAGGTCACAAACCTGAGCAGAACACAGCGGTTGTGGTGTTGCTCGTGGGATTGTAGGTGCCTACAGTTGTATGTTCCATGACCACAGTGGCTTGCAATCAACACTCCAATGCCATACCACTGGCCAATGGCCTGAGGGAACTAACTACGGGGGTGTCATGTTGCATAAATGCATGGTTTCACGCCTGTGGCCTGACCTCAACAACCGCTGCACAACACTACAGATTTTGAGGCCTTCGGACAGGAATGTGAAGGCTCCGCAATGAACCATTGCACATCCACATTTCTATTTCTGGAAAAAGAATCTCACACAATAGCATAGTGCAGTGAGCACTACAATATCACTATATTTTGCGTAATTTAGGCCAGATTGAGGGATAAGATGAAAAATTTAAAGATGATATAAGAAACAATATACATATATATATATATATATATATATTTCTACAAAAACTTTAATACAGTGAATAAACAAAAATATGAAACAAAAACACTGAGAAAAAGACTAAGAAAAGAAATCCCAGATTTTCAAGTCGAGACTAGACAAAAAGGAGGTGTTTCATTTTTGTGGTAAGAAGGATCACTGAAGTATACCAAACCAAAAAGAAACAAGACAAATCCAAGATTCAAGAATTAATATTGTAGTTGGACAAGATTTAGTTCTACCACAATAAAACTCATTACTTTCTAACAAAACATCATCATTCTCATCTGATTCATTCAAAGGAGTTTTATGAATCATAACTAAATGATCAATCATATTAGGTATTTGTTGATCAATTGAATGAGAATCTGATCCAGCAGGAAAGACTTGACAAGAGTTTAATGAATAAAGATCTTCATTTGACATTAGCACATCTGGAGATAGTCCATAATGATCTATTTCTTTATCTTCTGATGTGATTGGAGAAGCTATAAAAGTTGAAGCTGAGCTACAATTTAATGGTTTACAATAACATTCATGATTTGGATTAAGATCTAATGGAGTAGGTTTAGATCTAACTTTATGATCATGTTCTAAATCATTAGAATGATCATTAAAAGGCCCTTGCTATTTGCAGCCCACACAAAATACATGTAGGCGCGGCCAAAACAGTGCCTACATGAAGGTTTCCCACAAAACAGTGCCTACATTTATGATGTAGGCGCTTTTTCCTTTTTCAAATGACACCTACAGGCTGAAAAACCAATGTAGGCGTCATTTGTGTACGCCTACATTCCAAAAATAAAATGTAGGCGTAAATTTGAAGCGCCTACATTGTGTAGGCGTCACGAAATGTGCCTACATCTTTTTTTTGACTGTAGCATAATTTTTGTGCGCCTACGTATGTTAATACCAACACTCTTATAATTTAATACCAACACCCTTATAATT